TGCTGTCCTGGTGGGGGGGGGCTGCAGGGGGCAGCCGAACAATCGTCGGGGCTGGGGGGCTGCTGGAGGCCATTGCTTGCCAGAGGGGCTGCCTGCGCACGTCTACAGTGGGGGTCCCTTTCCACAGCAAGACAGTGATGTCTTGGCATACAAGCACATACTGATGATTGAGCAGCGCTCCTAGATGCTATGCTAGATGCAGCTTGCCCAGGTGACATCAGGTTGACATCATCACATGATGCAGATGGCATCACATGACATCACACCTTGGAGAGGCAGGGACATGGGGCTGCAACATGCCCCCAGGTCTGGACACCCACACCCAGAGACATGCAGTGACACATGATGACATGCCATGGCAGGGGTGATGTCATGGGGCATGGCATCACATCACGTCACATGATACCACACATGAGGAGAGGATGGGGACCGGTGGTTGCTGTGTGCCCCCACCCCAGGTAGGGAGGTGAGACGCAATACATGGTGACATACCACGACACACCACAGCAGGGGAGATGTAATGAAGCATGACATCATATGTGACTGCTGATGGTGTCAGAGAGAGGCCCCACCCCATTGCAGGCCCCCAGCATGGGGGAGGAGGAAGGAGGTGCCCCCCTCCAGGTCCCCAGCCTGTGAATGCCATTGCGGAGACTGGGGTGGCCTGGGAGGGCACTCGAGGCATTTGAGTGTACTGGGAGGCTCTGGCATATACTGGGATGGGGCCCTGGGCCATACTGTGAATCACTGTGGGGCCCTGGATCATACCGGGAGTCCTGGGGAGGGCAGTGGTCCATACAGAGATTCATAAGGAGGCATTGGTCCATACTGGAAGGCAGGGGTCTGGGCTGTACTGGGAGTCACTGGGAAACTTTGAGCCATACTGGGAATGTGCTGGGCTACACTGGGATGGTGCTGGACCATACTGGGACTCATGGGGAGGCATTGGTCCATACTGTGAGGCATGGATCTGGGGCTCTAAGCCATTATGGGTGGCATGGGGAGGCTCTGGGCCATACTGAGAAGGTTCTGGGAGGCACTGGTGCAACTGGGGAGGAGGGTTCTGGGGCTGTGGGCCATGCTGGGAGATGGGGGGCAATGCGGGGGGGCAGGGGCACTAGTGGGCACATGTGTGTATTGGTGCTTACTGGTGGGTGCTGTGGACGAGGAATGTATGCTGCATACACAC